GGTGGGGGAAAGACTGCCAATTGATTCACTATCTGTTAATTGATCAAGTAGTGTGCTGGATTTTCAGCCTAGGACAATTCAATGAACATTGCCACACAGAACAAGAGTTTTATAACAGGAGGGGGTAGTGGGGAAGTTAGAGTCAGGAGTGTCTTTAGCCTGAATACAGCTTTGAAAAACTGAAATTAATCCTGGAGGTATCAGCACTATGCTTTGCTGTTACATAACATTTAATTTCAACTGACATCCAAATTTCAGTTTCATTGACACCCTGAATTAATTGCCAGCTTAGTCTAGATAATGTCTTTTATCTTCTCTGTTCTCTAAATAACCAGGGTTCTTAGAAATCCAGACAGAAGTGGGAACACAGGAATTCAGAGCTGAAAAGATTGTCACACTAATGCAAACAGAGTTAAATAGATGGCAACATAGGAGATGCAGGTGAATTTCTCAGGTGAAAAACTAGATGTTGTATTTGTGTTTCATCCTATTGAATTGTGTTGGGTCTGAAACCTATCATAGAGGAGTGGGGTGGATGTTCAAAACTGTGAGATCAATTAAAGGCGGCTCAACCATGCCTGAATTATTTGAAAGACCCAAGATTGGTAAAATTACATTGTGAATTACAGTTTGCAGAATTTTAAACAAATAGTGGTGACTGGGAGGTTCTGGGAGTTATAGTCCTCCAAAGTAACTATTCGGCACTCTAAAAAGACTGGTTGGAACTAGGGGGTCAAAGTTAGGCTAATCTACACTGCCATACAATCCAGTTTCAGAATGCAGATTAACTGCCTTGAACTGGATTATATGAGTCTACACTGCCATGTAATCCAGTTCAATGCAGTTAATCTTCATTCAGAAACTGGCTTATGTGGCAGCGTAGATGGGGTCCTAGTCACACAGAGCTAATCAAAAGTGGTTGGAAGGCAGATGGAGAAGGACCCCACCACCCATCTCAATACACCAACCAATACAAGGAGTAGGGTTCTTTACATAGCAGCCATGGACAGCACATCAGTTTGAAGATTAGAGGCTTTGCAGCTGAAGCTGCACGATGACACATCTGGAATGTTGTAATTGCAGTTTCACTGCATTGATTGAGGTGGGCAGATTAGGTGACAGCTAAGGTCTCCTCCAGCTTTGTAATTCTATGACAGGCACTCTGTCCTATTATTATTATTATTATTATTATTATTATTATTATTATTATTGTTATTATTATTAAACTTTATTTATACCCCACCACCATCTTGAGTCGCGGATTGGCTAAGAAAGGCGGTATACAAATACAGTAAATAAATAAATAAATAAATAAATAAATCTCCCCTCAGGGACTCAGGGTGGCTAACATGAAGCCAAGCCCAACGAATACAGTAAACAAATAAGATACATACAGCAATTAATATTTAAAATTAAAGTCAAAATAAAAATAAAAATAAAATACAGCAATAAAACGTGTCCTATCTGGCCACCCCTTCCCACTTGGAATCCTATCAGCTGTTGGGGGAAGTGAGACATCCCATTGTCCAGTTCCCCATTGCCCCCATGCAATGAATGGGTCAAGATGGTGTGGTGGCTTGAGTGTTGGATTGGGACTCAGAGGGACCAGCAAATCCCCACTTAGCCATGGAAACCCATTGCCTAGTCCTGGACAACTATATTCTTTCTTCCTCAGAGGAAAGTTATGGCAAAACTTTCCTGAATAAATCTTGCCAAATAAAATACTAAGTAGAGTTGATATGACAATATAAACAATAGTCACATATACAATTCAAGACACTAATTTGCTGAAGGTAATTGTCCGCTGCCACAGGTGGCTCCTGCTGTTCATCTGCATCCGATCTGTGTGATGAGAGCTATAGTCTTACATAGATTACGGCCTCTAGAAAAGGATGCCAATATTTAACATAGAGCTATATTTTCTTAACATTTAGAAATAATTCATCTGATGATATTTTTTGGTTCAAGCAAGAGTGTTAACTGCTATACCTGATGCTACTGTAGCTGAGCATTTTGTACTGAATCAGCATTCTTGGTGAAGTTGTGCTGACTACTGTAAGTCTCAAGGAAATATCAACACCTTTGTATCCACAGTTGTTACAAATATAGATCTATTGCAGGGACATAATAGGGTTGTTGTGAGTTTTCCAGGCTGTGTTGCCATGTTCCAGAAGCATTCTCTCCCGACGTTTCACCCACATCTATGGCAGGCATCTTCAGAGATTGTGAAGTCTATTGAAAACTTGTCAAGTGGGTTTATATATCTGTGGAATGTCCAGGGTGGGAGAAAGAACTCTTGTCTGTTTGAGGCAAGTGTGAATGTTGCAATTGGCCAGCTTGATTCGTATTGAATAGCCTTGCCGCTTCAAAGCCTGGCTGCTTCCTGCTGAGGGAATCCTTAGTTGGGAGGTGTCAGGAGATACAACCTGGAAAACTCACAGCAACCCAGTGATTCCGGCCATGAAAGCCTTCGACAACACAATGACATAATAGCTTTCCATTTTCCATGCCCCCTTTACCTTCTCACAAAGTCATTCTTCATCTGCGTCTTTCAAATCATGGTTATATTGCTCGCAAAGTGGTGGATTTTTAGCTTATTGGCAAGTTAGGAAAAAATCCTTACATCATTCAGAAAGAAACAGCAAATTCCAGCTTGAACACAGCCAGTTAAAATCTTCTCCAGATGACACATTTCTCTAGATTGGGGGCAGGGAGGAATGAACTAGCAGTAGCGAGATAAATCAGATCAGAGTTGATTTCCATCTGTAAGAATTAACAGATGGACTGACCCTTCTGACTTACATAAAAATGATTAAACAAAATCCCCACGCAGGCTGTGTAATTTCTTTCACCAGACGGGACAGCTGGCAGTAAAGTGGGCTTTAAAAAAAAAAAAGCATACCATCATCTCAGCAATGGAAAACTACGGTATCCTGGATGTTATGACATTGCATTTCATAGGCCTGGCGCAATTAATCCCTTTTAACCAAAGCTAGGAAAAGTTGTTTTTGGAGTCAGCCTTGGGCCATGTTGACTTCAGGATTCTGGGAATTGTATTCCAAGGGGTAATTTTCCAAAGTCTCCAATCCCCCCTCCAATTCCAAGGCTTCCCTATAATCACTGAGAAGCAATAAAGAAATAAAAGCTTTTTTTGCAACCATGGTTCCATCACATTGAAAGAAAAGTTACAATGGCTATGTATGAAAGTATGCCAGGATAGCAGTTGTACCCAAAAAGGCCCACTGTGTTTGGCCAGAGCCCCTGCATCACTGCCAAAAAAAAACCAAAACAAAAACAACAAATAAATGGGGCACTGGGTTGTTGTAGGTTTTTTGGGCTGTATGGCCATGCTCTAGAAGCATTCTCTCCTGACGTTTCGCGTGCATCTATGGCAAGAGGAGGATGCTTGCTATAAATGTAAAACATCAGAAGAGAATGCTTCTAGAGCATGGCCATACAGCCCAAAAAAACCTACAACCACCCAATGATTCCAGCCATGAAAGCTTTCAACAATACTTTAAATGGGGCACCTTTGGCCATTTGTAGGTTTCTTGTTTGAGAAAAGATTACAGGGCCTTGGACCACTGTCGTTTGCCCCTTCACTCTAGTAGGCATTGAAGCAGCAATGAGGAAAGGATTTACTCACATTAACTTAATGAATGGATAATTTATATTTATTTGAATATCCTGTTCTTATTTAACTGTAATTAGGAATATAACGACCATGCTACATTAAACAAGGGGAAAATTGATCAAGTAGTGGTGCTTTAAGAACTGGGAATTCAATCAAAATGGCAAAAGAAATAGGTATTGTAATCCCACAACATTTTTCCTACCTTGCAAATAAGCTAAAAATCCACCACTTTGCAAGCAATATAACCATGATTTGAAAGACACAGATGAAGGATGACTTTGTGAGAAGGTAAAGGGGGCATGGAAAATGGAAAGTTTTTATGTCATTGTGTTGTCGAAGGTTTTCATGGCCGGAATCACTGGGTTGCTGTGAGTTTTCCAGGCTGCATGGCCACGTTCCAGAAACATTATCTCCTGACACCTCCCTACTAAGGATTCCCTCAGGCAGGAAGCAGCCAGGCTTTGAAGCTGCAAGGCTATTCAATGCTAATCAAGCTGGCCAGTTGCAACATTCACACTTGCCTCAAACAGACAAGAGTTCTTTCTCCCACCCTGGACATTCCACAGATTTATAAACCCCACTTGCCAAGTTTCCAATAGACCTCACAATCTCTGAGGTTGCTTGCCATAGATGTGGGTGAAACATCAGGAGAGAATTCTTCTGGAACAGTATTTGTCCTTGCTTTAGAGCAGTGGTTCCCAACCTGTGGATCGGCGAGTGTTTTGGCCTACAACTCCCAGAAATCCCAGACAGTTTGCCAGCTGTGAACATTTCTGGGAGTTGAAGGCCAAAACATCTGGGGACCCACATGTTGAGAACCACTTCTATAGAGTCTCAAGCACAGATAGTTGTTTCAGCTAAATCTTCATTCTGCAAATTTAATAGTGATTTTTTCTTTTTCTTTCCCTCATGATGGATTTTTTTTTCAATTATAAAGAAAATGACAAAAGAAATAGCTGTCTGAAGAACATCTCCATAAGGTAATAGTAAAGGGGTGAACCAATGAAGATCTCTGCTGCCTCCATGTGGCCATAACTTGGGAGATGTTACCTGAAACCACAATGATAGGATCCATCCAATGTAGCTTGAGCAGACTTTTGTTCATACATCAGGATTTAATCTCTCTCTCTTCCCCACTGCCTTATTTACGTCTTGGCTTCTGCAACATTTCAGAAATTTGCTTTCAACAATTTCCACTGAGCCCTCTTTATTACTAGAGTAGACCATCAACACCCACAGGGATTGGTAGAGGCTAGATAAATGTAGTTTCTCATGTAAATTCTCATGCATAGGAACTACAAACTTGTTTGTGCAAAAATTACCATATGACAAGAATACTTTGGAATATATAGTTATGAACAAACCATTTCATTGTTTTTACTTATTTGCTTTATTTTATTCCACCTTTCTCTTGATATAGGGACTCAAGCTGTAGCACAGATATTGCTTATATTATATTTACTGAGAATGGTCTAGGTATTTCTTTCAATACATTTAAGTATGTTTTATGGTAATGGTTTTCACCTCTGTGAAAAAATCATAAGATTCCTTTGCTCCCTCTCTGCCTATTCCAGAGGCTTTCATGCCCCCAAAGGGCAAATTGAGGTCTCTGATAAGCCAACAATTGGTCCAAACCAACCCTGACTGAAGTCTCTTGGCCACACGATGAACCCGTCCCACGTTGCTTGACCAGACAGTGGCAGCCAGGCCATACTGGACCCCATTGGCCCTTTTAATGACTTCATCCTCCGTGTCAAATGGTGTGACACATGTTACAGGACCAAAGATCTCATCCTGCATGCAACACGAGTCATCGCCAATTTCAGTTATAACAGTGGGAAGCAAGAAATAACCGTTCTGATTCTTTGTAGGAAGCACCAAGCTATCGATTCCTTCTCCCCACAGGATCTTAGCTCCTTCTTCCTGTGCTTTTTTAATGTAGCTCTTTACCTAATGGGAACAATGACAAAAATACATTCTTAATAAGAGCTGAAATTTTCCATTATTTGATTCCATTTACAATCAAATATAGGATTATTTTGTAGAAATGTCTAGTCTTGGTGATTGGATAGTATTATTATTATTTGAAACACAACAAGATTAGTACACAGCAAACAAGACCACTATGCTGGTTGTTGTATTGGATCACACGTCGGACACTTCCCTAGTGTCTAGATACCAGTAGGGTGGCCTTTTGCAACTGACAGATGGTAATTTTGTCAGCGCCAATTATATTTAAGTGCAGGCCAAGGTCTTTAGGCACTGCACCCAGTGTGCCAATCACTACTGAAACCACCTTGACTGCCTTGTGCCAGAGTCTTTGCAGTCCGATCTTTAAATTCTTGTATTGTGTCAGCTTTTCCAGTTGTTTCTCTTCAATCCTGCTGTCATCTGGGATTGCAACATCATCATCATCATTGTTATTATTTGTATTCTGCTGCTTCTCTCTAAGAAAGAGATTCAAAGTGCCTACTCCATAAACTAATGAGGATAATATGTCCTGTATAATGATGGTAGAAAACTCCCAGGCATCCCTAAATGTGATGCTGCTATTTTTTCAGTAGTGCTGCCAATATATATGGAAAAGCAGGCTTAAGAGGAAACATGCTGTTTCCAACTGTGCCCATCTGCCACCGGGATGGACAAAGCTGGCAGAATGAATCCCACTCCTCGTGGCTCAATGTATTCCCCTTCTCACCCACAAGATCTGCTTTAGAGGGTTGGGAGGACTCCAAGAGCAGATGGGTGGGAAACATGGAAGACGGCCAAGGAGAAATCTTACATTGGATACTGCCCAATATTTCTGACTTAAATTTGCATAGGTGAATTTTTAAGTAAGCTCTTTCAGGATTTTATGTCCAGATCTCACGTGCTCCAAATACAGGTCTTCTCCTGCATCTGAGGCAGATCGGGACTGTGAAGATATTATTATTATTTTAATATTAGTATTTCCCACCATTTTCCTAGTGTGGTTTTCCAGGGGGGGGGGGGGTAAAAAAAAAAATTAATATAGGTAAAATACACCAAAATAAAAAATAAAAATAAAACCATTTTAAAATATTACTATTAAAAACAAGTAATCAAAACACAGTCTATACAGCAGAATTCTGCAAGGCTCAGTCCTTTTAACTTTGGTGGATTTGATTAATTTGAGATTTGATTACTAGGATCTCGCTAAGGATCTCTAGGTGTTTCAGCACAACTCTATGGTCAACATTCTAGTGGAAGTTGACCACAGATCCACATTGGAAGACCTAGAGATTGCCAGAGAAGCATTTTCCCATATTAAAAAGGGTTGATTATCCACACGTTTTCTACTTTTATAGAATTCCTGTGCCCCTAACCTCATTGACTGTGGAGGATTGAATGAATATTTCAGCTGCTGTTTTCCAACAATGTTACCCCTTCTTATTAAGGAAGACTCTCAGATTTCTGGTGAAGTGTTAAGAGCATTTAGTCTTCTTCACTGATTAATGCATTGGCTTCTGTTGTTGAATATTGTTTTAAGCCCTTGCGTTGTAACACGTGCCTTTTAACTGTTTCTGACTACCATATGTGCACTAGCATTTATTTATGCTGTTGTGAAGGCATTTTCTTTGAAAGGTTTCTAGTTAGCTGTAATAATTGGAAATAAAGATAAATATAAATGGTTCTGGCCAAGCTTACCTGTCCAAACACATCTTCCACTATGAACCATCTTGGAGGTCAAGATCTTCTGGGAAGGCCCTGCTCTCGGTCCCACCTCCTTCACAGGTGCGGTTGGTGGGGATGAGAGACAGGGCCTTCTCAGCGGTGGCCCCTCGGCTATGGAACACCCTCCCCAGTGAAATCAGATCAGCACCCTCCCTCTTAACCTTCAGAAAGAAAGTGAAGACATGTCAATAGGACCAAGCCTTTGATCAGTAAAGTAATGCAGTACTAGAAATGGAGATGGAACGTGTGCAATTGACTACTGGAATAGATCTGGATTACGATTTTGGAATGCGTGTTTTTTAAAGATGGTTGCTAATTTGTTTTAATGCTATGATTTTAATGTAACTGTTTAATTTTAATTGACTGTTTGTTTTATATGGCATTGAATTGTTGCCTATCTGTAAGGCCGCTCTGAGTCCTCAACAGGGTGAAAAGGGCAGGATATAAAGATGGTAAATAAATAAATAAATAAATATGAAAAATATTCATCATTTCTTTTTGGCATTCAATTTCTTTTATATGAAATCTTGTCTTGATTTTATTGTACTAATCTGCTATTCCACTACAGTCACATTGATTGGTTACATACCAGATTGAGCACCTCTCTTCATTTGTGCAATTTCACAAATTCACAAATTCATGGTTTTGTGGTACTCCCTCTCCCTCCCATAGCTTCCCTCATTACTGCTGCCTCTTGTTTTTTATTGCTAAAAGTTTTGCAGCAATTGATCTATTCCAGCATTTAAAATTTTTAAAAAGGAAAATATAAATATAAAATAAAAAACAAATATCTTGGGAATAGCGAGGGGATATGGGGTAGGGGAGATGGGAGAACCTGAATGCTGTCCCAAATGTCAATTTACAGAAGTTGAAGGTAAGTGACAAGAACATTGCAGGGTTGGGAGCTATTGGGAGGTTTTACCCATTAACAGCTAGAGATGGAAGAATTGTGAGGAGAGGACAGACCAGCAGCAGGGAACACACAGCATCATGCCGCTTGCCTGTCTTGTGCAATGAAGTTATACTTTTGCTAAGACATAATTATCATTCTGCTTTCTTCTCAAGTCAGCAAGAAAAACCAGTTCTGGTCAATGTGCTAAGTGCATGGTTTGTCCCCAAACAACTTTTTTGTTCACCTTTGCTAAATGTTCTTTACTTATCAGCGCTCCCATGTCAACTGTGGAATCTGCAGGACTTCCAACCCTCCACTTTTTGACAGCTTCCACAAATCTTCTCAAAAATTCTTTGTAAATGCTTCTCTGCACAAAGATTCTGCTGGTGCACAGGCATATTTCACCCTGAGGGAGCAATGAGAAGGATAAAAAGTTCAGGGATTATTACTACAGATTTCTATAAATGAAAGAGTGAGAGAAATATACACATTTCATAGTTACTATATGTCAAGCTCTGCAAAATTTCATTTCACAGTAACTCAAAAACAACAGATGACGATAAATGGTCACAAAATATCAGGTAATGATATTAGGCAATGATATGTTTGATTCAGCCAAAGACCTTCTGTCTGAAACAAATACACTGGGGAACATGGTGAATCAGAAGGAGGATGGATTAGGGTATTTGCAATGTGTTCAGACATAATAATCAGAAAACTGTAGGAACATTGGTTTAATGAATATGACCAACGTATTGGTCAATGGCTCCCCTTTACAGCAAGGAACAGCTAAACAAACTAGAGAACCTTGCTTCGTGTTTTGCATGTTGCCTCAAACAGCAGCAGCTCTCTTCTGGCTCTCCCCACAACACAAAATAAAGTTACTATGTATTCCCTCTTTGACTCCTTGTGAGAGGGGAGAACAGCCACGACTACATACAGACAGGGTAATAAATAACCCAGACAGCAAAGTGCAGGTGGTTGCCAAGGTTTCCATAGTTCCTTGGCTTATAATTATATATGAATGTGACTATGGAGAACTGCAAGTTCTGAGAATATGGCAGAATGTTGAAGAGCTCAATCTCTCGTCACATAGAAATTTGGAACAAATCAACACCTGGGTTGTTGTAGGTTTTTCAGGCTGTATGGACCTCACAACCTCTGAGGATGCCTGCCATAGATGCAGGTGAAACGTCAGGAGAGAACACTTCTAGAATATGGTCATACCGCCCAAAAAACCTACAACAACCCAGTGATTCCAGCCATGAAAGCCTTTGACTATACATTAAATCAACATCTTCTTACAAACTAAAGGGGGGGGGGGCAAACACAGAGAAACATAAACAGTAGGGGGGAAAACCTCCAAATGATCCTGGGATCCCGGATTGTCATGTATTAATTTTATTTATAAAGAAACTATTAACAATATTAAAACAATTTACAACATACAACATACAATCAAAAATAATAAAAAGCAGTACTCTCCTAAAAGCCCTTAAAAAAATCCCTTGCATTTTGGTACAGCCATATTAAAGAGCATAATAATACAATTTTTCCATCTGGACAGAGAGAGCCTCAGTAAGAAAATTTCATTTTTGTGTTCCCCTAGAAAGCCTTTCCAAAGTGTGTCAGGTATTTTATAAACAAATTTACCATTTTGTATACATTCATGAAGTTTTGGCCTCTTTTTGCTAATGCTGCTGCCATCTGATTGATGTCAGACACTGTGTTTCCTGAATAATTGCTGAACACCACTGCCAATGAAGTTCTAAATTAGGCAGCTTTGAATACATATTTGATCAGCTTCAAATGTCCAGCCAGTTAAAAGAACAGCGCTATCTCCCTCCCCTAAATTCTCTAAAGGTTCCAGGTGACTAAGACCTTCTGCATGTAGGAATCTTCTGTTTCACATACCAGGTGGCTATGTATGCACAGTGTGCATTGTCATTCTGCTTGTTGACGTTGCTATTAAAACCCATTTGTGCTGTATGAAATCAACATGTAATGTTCAAAATATTACTGAATAAGCTAATAAGCCAATTATCACTCTTCATTTCATAAAAAGCCTACACATACATAGTCTACAGAGCACACTCCCCACACAATGGTAACAAATAGTTATTTCAAAGTACTGTTGAAGGCTTTCATGGCCGGAATCACTGGGTTGTTGTAGGATTTCGGGCTGTATGGTCATGTTCTAGAAGTATTTTCTCCTGACGTTTTGCCTGCATCTATGGCTGGCATCCTCAAAGGTTGTGAGATTTCACAACCTCTGAGGATGCCCGCCACAGATGCAGGCAAAACATCAGGAGGGAATATTTCTAGAACATGGCCATACAGCCCAAAAAACCTACAACAACTCAGTTTTTTCAAAACTTCTAAGTTGAGATGTTGGTGTCACTGAAGTATTTTGAAATTATAGAGACTTGGGAATTGTGTGTGTGTGTGTGCGCGCGTGCGCGTGCATATATAGCTGTGGATTACTAAAGTTCTCCTGGAAATATCACACACACACACACACCCTCCAGTGTGTCTACAGAGAGAAAAAAGAGAAAAAAGTGGAGAGGAGGAGGGAGAGGAATAGGAGAGAGAGAGAAAAAAATACTGTCTGTAATATATGTTGTTGTTTTTTACCACCTAGCATGCCTAAGCATTCTTTTACTCTGGAGTTTCCTGGGTGTCTTCCCATTATTTCAGCAGAGGGGCTGCCATTGGTTTGATTACATTAAAACTTACTCTGCCACTTTAATATGGCTAGCAGTAGCACAGCTACTGCTAGTCAGGACTTGCTGGCCAACAGCACCAAGTCATTTTGATTGACAAGGATGCTAACCCATTTGCCATCCCCTCCATCCAGACTCTCTTTTTCTTGGAGGTATGATTAAGATCCATGCAATGTACAAAGCCCTGCTCCTCATGGAGAGCAAACTGCTAGAACTGCCATGTTCATGTGGATCAACATAGCTACTTTGATTTTGCACTCTTTTTGGAGTATGGCTATCATGATGAATGACTGTACTTCAATATAATATCACCATTATAAACAATGGGGATTTTTTTTCTATACAATTCAATGTGCTCTGAGCAAAGTTGAGGAAGAGTTAGTAAAATAGATAGAGGTTGGTTGCTCCCTCACAATTGCTGCAATAATTAGAATAAGACTGAATATTAATAACATAATATTCACTCAGAGTTGATGCCATTTTGGGTAGATGTCTTAAAACCAGTTCATACCAATCAAAATAGTCCCCCTCAGCAACTGGTGGAATTCAATTCAATGATGAAGCTTTTGAGTTTCACAAACAATGAAACACCTATTGGTCCATACCTGATTAGCAAAGCTGGATCTTACAGAATCAGGAACACATTTATCCAAATTGGCATCTTCAAAGATGATTGCTGGATTTTTGCCTCCAAGCTCCAAGGACAGCTTCTTACAATATGGAGCACTCCTTTCAATGATGCGTTGACCAGTGAGGGTGCTTCCAGTGAAGGAAATTAGTGACACTTCAGGATGGGAAACGAGAGCATCTCCAGCTTTGGGACCACTTCCAAACACAATGTTCACAACACCAGGAGGAAACCCTTATAGAAATAGGCACACAAAATATGCTCATATAGCACACTTGAGCTACAGAGTTCTGTACACATAAGAACAGTGAAGTAAGGTCTATTAAGTGTAATGCATATTACTTTTGAGTAGAGATTAATATGATGGCAACTATTTACAAACCTAGGAATATGTTCCCTTGAAGAGGTTAACAGGAGTGATCATATAGTAATTGGAGGAGAGAAATGCTTATGTGTGATGTTCTTCTCTTCCTGTTGGTTATACTTGACCACCTCTGGTCACAGAAATGTTCTTTTGCATAGGAACAGATTATAATTACACTGGCCAACACACATTTTGGTGCCTCAAATGTTAGATCTGTTTCTGGGTGTGTTTGACCTGCTGATTCCAAAAATTGCACTCGTTTCGCCTATCAGCTCTAGTTTTTGAGGTACAGAAAATATGCCATTGACCAGTCACCATCTGCTTGCCTACAGAAAATAATAATAATAACCATATAAAAAAACCAGAACTGATGTATCTATCCAATGCAATTTTCTGAATCAGTGTCCCAAACAACCCCAAGAACAGTCCTAAAAACCAAGACACCAATATTTTTTTTTGGTTAGGCTTTTGTTAGGCTATTAATATTGGTTGCCACGATGAACCACATATACACATGGATTGTCATTGGTGTCATCTATCTAAAACAGAAGTGTAAAACTGTAGCTTACAGTGGGTTTTTTTAACTGTGATTCCCCTAATCCTTCATCATAGTCTCCATGGTGATATGAAAAAATGAGAGCTGTAGACTATTAATATCTGGGGGATCACGGCTTCCATCCAGATCTAAACTTAATGGAAGAAGTACAGAGAAATGTACTTCTTCCCTTCCTATTACTACTTCTTATATTGACATTGAAGAGATCACTTTGAATTCACAAATATGATCATTATTATAGTAGTATATAGTTTCTCACCTTTTCAGGCTTACCTGCTTTGTTAAGAAGTTTGCACATCATCCAAGCAGTGACAGATGTCATTTCACTGGGTTTTGCAATGACTGTGTTTCCACATGCAATGGCTGGGGCAATTTTCCAAGTCAACAAGTAAAGCGGTAAGTTCCAAGGACTAATTAAGCCAGCTTTGGAAGAGGAAAAAATAGTTAAAGTTCTCCAACAAGAAGCATTACACTTATGAACAAGCCAACACTCTCCTTCTAGCATCCTGATAAAGGAAGAAAAACATGCCAGCCCAGAACATTTTTCCTTCTGCTCTATGCACAGAAAAAATATCTTAAAACAAAAACCCAGGACCTACAAATCAAATGTTAACAAATCAAATTGATCATGCAAAGGAGTGTAATATGAAAGGCTTGATATTCTTGGCACTCATACAATGAACCCTTGACCCTTTTTACAAGCAGAAGATGAGCTGGAGAAGGCACAAATTCTGCAGTGAGTGATCCCATCTAACTAAACTAAGGAGGGCTTTTCATTCCATTGGTTCTGAATAAGACTAAAGCCAAAGTCCTTTTGCACTTTGTATTGTATGCTATAAATGTTTGTCTATATGGATATTCTTTTGTGTGATAGTCACATTTGAGGTCTAACACTGTGGTTTTTTTTGGGGGGGGGGACTTCTGTTCTTGAATACTTTAAATAACATCTCGTTCATATAACCAATAAAGAATTGTGTGAGTTCAAGCAGGAACTGAGTTTGCAGTGCTGACAGCAGAAAAAATGCACATTGCATTGCTCAAATAAATGGCTCCTGTTTGAAAGCATTACTAATTGTATATGATGTTAAATTGTGTCCTCATGATCCCCACTGCCGCCTTTACTCTGAAGGAAATTGTGACACCTAGTGGTTTGTTGTATGTACCAAAGAGTACAGTAAACATAAGTTTTGTACAAGTTTTGTCAAAATCCAAACGGTTATAATGTAATGAAGTCAAATGTGTTTTGGTCTAGACAAGAATGAAGTAGAGCTATTTCATTAGCTAACTATATATATATATGCAACAGTATTTAGGGCTTATATTTTACTATGATAGATTGATTCTCATTTTAGGTGGAGAAGTATGTCACAATAGACACCATATTTTGAGTTATTAGTTGATATCACATTGCCAAATAATAGTACTCCTGTTAGAGTTTGGATTTTGGGTCTTAGGGGATAAAATTTATGAGACATCCCTGGAATAATAACTAAGCAGACACTGTGTTGCCCAAGGCTTTCATGGCCAGAATCACTGGATTGTGAGTTTTCAGGGCTGTATGGCCATGTTCCAGAAGCATTCTCTCCTGAGGCTTCACCCATATCTATGGCAGGCATCCTCAGAGGTTGTGAGGTCTGTTGGAAACTAGGAAAGTGAGGTTTATATATATGTTGAATGTATGGGGTGGGAGAAAGAAGTCTTGTCTACTTGAGGCAAGTGTGAATGTTGCAATTGGCCACCTTGATTAGCATTTAATGGTCTTGCAGCTTCTAAGCAGATACTATTGAAGTGACCTGGGCCAAATACTGAACTTCTAAGATAGTGCCACAGCCCAGAGGTAATATAAAATGATATGATCTTGTAACAGGGAGAGAAGTAATGCATTTCACAGACCAACAAAGTAAGTGAATTTTTTTAGACAAAATGGCTAACTTTCAAAAGGGATTCCAGCATCAGCTCCTAAGAACTGGTAATATAGTGGTATGTACAGTTTCAGTCCTATTCTGTAAATAGAATGGAGTTACTTTTCAAGTTAGGAGAGGAAGAACATCAGCAATGGAATCCTAGCTATTTCCAGTCATTGATTGGTGGATGTTGCCTCCAAAGCTCTTGTGGCCAAGTATGAAAACAGAAATGATTAGGCTCCTGGGGAGCCGGAGAGTTTTTACCACACTTCCAAGTTCAACCCTTGTGTGCATTCACCTTTTCTTTATTTACTACACCATATTTTTTGTCATTACACAATTATAGCACAGCACCATGATTCCACTTTAACTGCCATGACAATATCCTATGCAGTCCTGAGATTTCCAGGTTTCTCTTTGAGGGGAAGAGTATTTGGAATTCTCTGCCAAAGAACTCTGGTGCCTCAACAAAATACAAATTCTATCATTCAATCGGATGTTGCCATGGCAGTTGAAGTAGGATTATAGCACTATAATTATGCAGTGTGAAAGGACCCCTGACATTCAATTGAATAATAATAATAATGAGCATATAGGGGTGTGTGAAATGGCGCAGAATATGCACTATTTCTGTTCTGTTCTGTTCTGTTCTGTTTCCTTTCTGTTTTTGCCCCTCCCCCCAAAAAAACAGCACTTTTTTGTTCTGTTTTCTTTCTGTTTTCGGATGTCCCCAATTTCCCAGAATCTTCCAGAAAACAGAACAGGGGCACCTGAAATTTGAAACAAAAACAGAACAAAAACAGAATGGATTTGCACAGGGGTGTGCAAAAAAGCACAGAATATGCACTGTTTTTGTTCTGTTTTCTTCGTGTTTTTGGGTCCCGTCCATGCCTGCTGAAAAATGCACTGTTTTTGTTCTGTTTTCTTTCTGATTTTGGGTGCCCCCTCCCAATTTCCCAGAATCTTCCAGAAAACAGAGCAGGGACAGCTGACATTCGAAATGAAAACAGAACGAAAACAGAATGGATTTGCACAGGTCTGGGCAAAAAGGCACAGAATATACATAAAATGTTTTTTGTTCTGTTTTCTTTCTGTTTTTTGTGTGTCCTCCCCCCTGAAAACAGCACTGTTTTTGTTCTGTTTTCTTTCTGTTTTTGGGTGCACCCCCCACCCCAATCTCCCGGAATCATTCTGAAGACAGAACGGGGGCACCTGAAATTTGAAACAAAACCAGAACGAAAACAGAATGGATTTGCACATCCCTAAATTATTCACCCCATTATACTCCACTTTACCAAGGCATGCTTTAGTTTATAGTAGAACTCCGTTGTCAAGAACTGAATATTCCTATAGAAGATATTCAGTACTTCTGTAAGAAACTGACACTTCTATCATTTGGAATTCAGACCTTACCAATTCCCACTGGTGTTCTCTCAGTATAATGCATGCAACCCATATGGTCCATCTGTGTACATTCTGATGTTTGGTGAAGGATGGATGATGAAAAGAAACGGAAATTGTAAGCAGCCCGAGGGATGTCCACTGTTCTAGCAAATGTTATAGTTTTCCCTGAAACAGAAAGATATTTAATATACACTGACACACATTTTCCATGGTAATTGGTGTCCTTTTAAAACTTGCAAGTTTTTCTCAAAAAGAAAAAGATTTCTTAACTGACTTCATGAATAGGAAAAGTGTGCATGTTTTACAAAAAAAGTTACTTCCTTAAACCGAAGTTTTTTGTATAATTTAGAAATACACGCCCATTCCTCCCAAAACTATGTGCACAGATACAACAAAGCAGACTCAACCTGGCAACACCTATCTTTGAAAAAGAAATCTGTTTGATTAGGGTGCATTTAACTCATGCAATAAAATAAAATAAAATAAAGGAATCTAGTTAGTGCCCTTCTTCATATTTTTTGCAAATTAACCTGCTCTCTTAATTACTTGTTGAAGTAATGTGTCTAGAGTGACCATTTGGGGCAGCCCCAATTAAAACAGCTATTCAGAGGTTAATACCAGCCACTGTGTTTGAAGTCTCTATTAAATATATTTTATTAGTATTGTGTATAACTTCTCCATGTAGTTCACTTTTCCTAATAAATAAGAATGGAATAATTCTGAGGAGCCATTTCATGAATGTGTATGGAGTTTTTGAATCCACATGCCAATAGTGTGTCTTCACTCACTGTCATTTCCAGTTGGCAACTTGGAAGAAAGGGTCATACTTTCTGTCTTGAAGCATGGAAGATCTTAGATGCCTTCAGCACACCAGAACATTTTTCAATGGGGTAAATGTCACTTTTTAATGATGTAATTACTTTGATGGTAATGTTCAGAAGGAGGGATCAAATGGTAAGGCATCTAATGTCATACTAATTAAAGGTATGTCCTTCTTCCTTCTCCTTCATTCTTGTCACTTCATGATGATGTGGCCAGTGGTAGTTGGTGGCTTCCATTTCAGTGGAGAGATTAATTCTCTCTGACTTTTAGTTCAAGACTGAAAGGAGCTTTCCAAGGTGCTGACCTGCACCCCTGAATAGCTTCAACCTCTCAGTTCCTTTTGATCTTAGCCAAAGCCTAGAATGGATTCACCATCATTGAAGCCACAAGACACCAGAGCATGTAATTTATTTTTGCACTGAACATGCAAACTTAAAAACAAAAGTAAGAATTGCCATCCACTGGAAAATAAAAGGTAAACATTATAGCAATCAAGCATGTGAATGTAAACCTAATGATTCACCATACAAACACATAACAGTCAAGGCCTCAGAACCAATGCCAGAAATATTTTTAGTTTGTTGAATTAACTTGAGTTTGAGTTCTTTACATTTCTCAACCTACACTATCTGTGAATACAAGCCACATAGGTTTTTGCATTTACCTTGATCCTTGGATTCTGCTTGTGCAAATGATTCCAGATCTTCTTCAATAAGATCTGCTAGCTTGCTCATTAGTTTTGACCTTTCCTGGGGACTTCTGGAAGACCATTCTGGAAAAGCACTTTTTGCAGCCTTGACAGCAGCCTCTATCTTTGAAAGGCAAGAGAGAGATGCATCTCACTTAATGCATTTGCAAAAGCAAATCTAGAGCATATGCTAAACCAATAACAATAATACAAATGTGTCTATGTAAGTAAAATGGATTTTGCTGTCCTGATCAACCACAACCAGTTTCCACAGATTTAAGAGCTGTGTGCAGGATCTCCAGCATTAGAACATGATACCTTAACAGCCGTAAGGCAGGTATCTCTTTTTTGCAAAACAGAAATTAAGCTTTGCTCACTGAGTAACTCAGTAAGCTACCCAAAACAGCAAATCTGGTGATGCTGGGTTGTTCGTATTTGTTGTGAACCGCTGTGAGTCGCCTTCGGGCTGAGAACAGCGGTATATAAGTAAGGTAAATAAATAAATAAATAAATAAATAAAACTACTTGAAGGCACAGAACAATGACAAATTATCTCCTCCAGATGGCACTGTTGAGCTACTGTTCTTTTACCTGGGTGTTCTTCCTGTCTAAGGGCCCTTCCACACAGCCATATAACCCAGAATATCAAGGCAGATAATCCACAATATCTGCTTTTAACTGCATTATCCGAGTCCACACTGCCATATAATCCAGCTTTGAAAAAATGTCTTACTTCTTTTCCTTTTCTTATTTTATCCATTGACATGTTTACATTTCTAACATGTCCAGTAACTCAACTTCTCTGGGCAGTGATCAGTTAATTAATAAAATAAAATAAATGTCAACAAATAATGACAACAAAGTTGCACAAAATAAAATTTAGATGAAAAACAGGAAGAAAATTCCAGAGCAAAGCTATAAACACACTAAAATTGTACCTGGGATATCTAGGCAAATATACAGTATTTACCATAATCTAAATGCTAGATGAGCTTGTTTATGGAAAGCATGCCGCAGACAAGGGCTGGTTCTACGCTGTGGAATGAATGAAGTTTGACAGCACTTTAATTGCTCAATATTGTGGAATCCTGGGATTTAAAGGTTGGTGAGGGACAAATACTCTTTAGCAGAGAAGGCTATAGACCTTGTAAGACTACAGTTCCCATGATTCCACAACAGTGCATCCTGGCAGTTTAAATGGTGTTGAAATGCATTCATGCTGAAGTGTATAATGCACACAACGTTCTGTTAATCATTGAAAAGATTATCTTATGGTAACTCAATTTGCCTTATTGAAGCAGGGACACTTGGAAGAAGGCCTCAGATTAGATCTTTACAGTATAAGTAAGCAATTATCAGAGGAAATATAACTACAGTAGAGTCTTGCTTATCCAACCTTCGCACATCCAACGTTCTGTATTATCCAACTGATTCAATGCATTGCGATGTTTTACTGCTAAATTTGTAAATACAGTAATTACTACATATTGTTACCATGTATTGAACTTCTTATTCTGTTGATTTGTTGAAAAACAAGATGTTTTGGTTCTTAATTTGTAAAATCATAACATAATTTGACACTGAATAGGCTTTTCCTTAATCCCTCCTTATTATCCAACATTTTTGCTTATCCAACGTTCTGCCGTCCCGTTTATGTTGGTTAAGCGAGACTACTGTATTATCCTTTATTTTAAAAGGTTACCTTACATTCCTAAGGAAGAGCTGAGTGAACCCTGTACAAACAAGGCAACAAAACTAAAAGCTTCTCCATGCTCTGAAGTACTGCCATCATTTGTTATTCCACTTTAGTCAGCTAATTGTCTTGGGTCCACTGTGGAATTAGGCAGCAATAAAAGTAGCAGGAAAAGAAGAGACAAGGCAGTACACAACTTGAGCTACTAAACAGCTGACAGAAGCAGTAAAAGTGAACAATGACTTGACAAATGACACAGAGAGGATCAGAAGGGACAACTAGAAGGGATTTTCTTTGCAATGTTTCTTCAAAGGGCATTTTGCCTTGTCTTCATGTGCAGCTTCATGGCCAAGCAAGCATTTGAACCCTGGGTCTCCAGAGTGGTAGTCCAACAACCCTTAAATCACTACACCACGCTGGCTCTCTCTGCCTGTATTAGCAGTTGTCTGAAAGCCAGATTACACTTTAAGATGTCGTATGGAGTGTTTTTTTGTGGTCTCTCTATATCAAATATATATCCCAGCACTCTATTGTTGCATACGCCCAAAATAATTCTATTTCAGTATCCCTTTTGCTGCTCTATTTATATGTATTTTAGATGGTAAGATGTTGTTCACCAGAATTATTGCAAGGGGAAGAGGCAGGAAGCACCTAGAACTATTTAAATAATATATCAAAATTTTCCCAAGTATATATTTTGACAGGTTTAACGCATTCACTATTTTATTGCTGAAAAGCCCTCCAAATGTCACAAGTGCACTCTTAATGCTTGTACTTTATTCAGCATGTTAGAAAAATAGTGGGGCAATATGAGCAATTGCTATAGGTGACATTCAAAGTCATGTGAGTGCACCTTTCCTTATGCAACAAGACTTCCCACCCTTCCTGTTCCCACCACCTGCTGAAGGGAGCCTGAGAAGGAGGTGGGAGAGAATGCCTTCTCTTGAAGTTTAATGGGCTCATCAAAGGAGATATGGTTCTACAAATACGTTGGGCCCAAGCCATATAGGGTTTTATAGGTCATTACAAGGACTTTGATTTGTGCCAGGAAATGAAGCAGCAGCTAGTGAAACTGTTACAACAAGGAAGTTGTACACTCTGTATTTCATGTCTTTTATTTCATAGGACTAGTACAGGTTGTGCATTCTTTCTCCAGATTTTAAAAATCCAAAATTGTCCATATGAATGGCTAAAATAGTGAAACCTTTGCTTTCTGATTATTCAGTGTATACAATCTTTGTTTCGTGTACAAAATTATTTAAAATATTGTGTATAAAATTACCTTCAGATTATATGTTTGAAGTGTATATAAAACATTAATGAATTTTGTGTTTAGACTTGGGTCCCATTTCCAAAGTATCTAATTTTTATGTAGAGTCTCATTTATCCAACCTTTGCCCATCCAACGTTCTGTATTATCCAAAGCAGTCTGCCTCCCGCTAGGATCCACAACTTTTTCAATACATTATGATGTTTCTGTGCTAAATTTGTAAATACAGCAATTACTGCATAACTTACTGTATATTGAACTGCTTTTTCTGTCAATTTGTTGTAAAACATGTTAGTGCTTAACTTGTAAAATCATAATGTAATTGAGTCGCCCAAGGGCTGAGAAAAGCAGTATATAAATATAGTAAATAAATAGTAAATAAATAAATTTGACGTTTAATAGGCTTTTCCTTAATCCCTCCTTATTATCCAACATTTTTGCTTATCCAACGTTCTGCCGGCCCGTTTATGTTGGATAAGCGAGACTCTACAGTATATACAAATGCATGCATGCCAAAATTGGGAGGGATCCAAAAGCTAAAATGCTTCTGGTCCCAAGCTTTTCAGGTAAGGGATATTCAACCCATACCTAAAATGAGCTGAAGTCTGCTGATTTCCTTGTTAAAATACATAGAAGACCTCCCAGCCTTCTCTGTGCATGCTTGCCTCACACATACTTTAGAAAGAAGCTCTAAGATCACCTCTATACCTGTTCTACTGACCTCAGGCTTGAGCTAAGACGGCATGTTACACTGTAAACACGCTTTCTCTGTATCCAATATACAACCACCCTTTCAATATACAACACTGAAATCCAAAGGAGGCTCCTTGGAGCAAGTTTAAACTTTAGCAAAGCCAGTAGTTACACTTCAACCACTACTTATCTGGACTTAGCAAATATTTGACCGACTGGAGTTGAATGCTAGAGGTTAAAGTTCAAACTGCAAAACTATGTCTAGAAAATCCCTCTTGCAACTGCAACCATAACCTAAACAAAATAGACTTTTCTTTAAATCACTTTTTAAAAATGTGTGTTAACAGAATTAGGTACAAAGCTCAGCACATTATGGATCAAAGGATGTTTCAGTTACTGGCTAGTTTAGCATTTTGCTTTACCATTGGACCCAAATGTCCAGAGCTTGGAAAGGCTACATTTTAGACTCCGGAATCCTGAATTTCCTAAAGCAACTTTCCCAAGATATTTGGGAGTTATTTGTAAATACAAATGTTAAGGGAAAGCATGTTCCACTCAAATACTGCTTCAGCTAATGGGAAATTCACCACTGTGGCTGACATTCTGATAAAAGTTGCTTACTAGGACTACAAAGACATTCAGAATGTGATTTCAAAGACTGGCAAAATCCACCCTGCCACCAAAGAAAAAAAAATCCAAAATGGTTTGCAAACAACAATTTATAGAATTCCTTTACAGTAATTCCATAGTCATGCTTTAAAAAGCAATTTAAATTTCTGCAAGAACTCACCTCTTCCTGGCCACTGTCTGGCACCTTGCAATATACTTCGCCTGTGGATGGGTCATATGAATCTAAGTAGGATGAGGAAGAGACAAATTGGCCCCCGATATAGTTCTCCAGAAACAAGTGAGCCTTTGAGTTAGCCATTGTCCCTCAGTTTGCATCAGCAGAATGTTTGCTCTGAGCTTTCAGGTCACAAAGCAGACCTGTGTATGTGAACATGAACTCCTCCCCTCCTTGTAAAAACATCATTAACTAGATCCAACAGTAGAAACTTCTGTAGCCTAGTCCAAATGAACTGAAAGTGAGAGGGTTTCCCCCCCCCCCCTTGGTGTCATTTTTATCCCTGTTCCTGTGGTTATTTGTGGACGCTAATTCAGGCCCTCTCTATATTGCCATATAATCCAGATTATCAAAGCAGATAATTCATTCTCTGCTTTGAACTGGATTATATGAGTCTACGCCGCCATATAATCCAGTTCAAAGCAGATAATCTGGATTTTATATGGCAGTGTAGAAGGGGCCTCAGAAAATTCATATTGGGAAAACCTCATCAGCTTGTTTCTTGGAAATGGGTATTATGGTTTTCTATGGGGGAGCAGATGAAGACTGGTATATGGCATATGTTTTGTGTCTCAAAAACTAGAGCTGATAAAGGAAAACCGGTACCATTTTTGGAATCAGCAGGTCGAATATACCCAGGCCCCCTTCCACACAGCTGAATAAATTATCTGCTTTGAACTGGAATATATGGCAATGTGGACTCAAATACCCCAGTTCAAAACATATTGTGGGATTTTCTGACTTGATATGGCTGTGCAGAAGGGCCCCCAGAAACTGGCCTAATGTTTGAGGCACCAAAATGTGTGTTGGCAAATGTAATCAAAGTTATAGGCTAACATGTCCCATGGGATGTTTCTGTGATCTCTTTGCATCAAAAATATTTCTCATGGTAAATCCTTCTCTTCTCAGCCAAGTAATATACACACAACTAAACGACCACTTCTAAAGAGGTTGTTAGAAAGATGGGCCACACAGAACACTCTAAGTCCTCCAGTGTAATTCTATGGCAGGCATCTGGCACAAGCATAGTCAAAATATTTTATTGTTGTTATTACATTTATTATTTTACTCTATTATTATTACATTTATTATTTTATTCTTTATTATTATTATTATTGTTATGATTACATTTATTATTTCACTCTATTATTACTACATGTATTATTTCACTCTATTATTATTACTTTTTCATTATTTTACTCTATTATTATTTTTATTACATTTATTATTTTACTTTATTATTATTGGAAGGATACTTAAGCATATTTACATTGAAGAAGGTTAGAATAATTGTTTAATTAGAGTTGGATAGTCTTATATTAAATTAAAGTTTTAAGTAAATATTCAAAAACATTTAACCTACTGATGCCTCTATTAATGTAATTTTATTGGTATCTATTTTTATTTTGAAATTTACCAGTAGCTGCTGCATTTCCCACCCTCAGCTTATACTTGAGTCAATACGTTTTCCTAGTTTTTTTGTGATAAAATTAGGTGCCTTGGCTTATATTCAGGTCGGCTTATACTCAAATATATACAATTTATTCTGATGACCAGCAGTAACTTTAAAAAAAATCACAAACACTTGAGCTATTCTTGGAGTTTACCTGCACATTAATACCCTCATTGAATTCATATATTTTTACTTTTGAATATGATATACATAATGGTAAGTAGAAATGAATGGTTGTTAGAATTCATGAAATTCAGTAATGTTCATAACACTGAGATACAGGTGTTATCCACTGAGGTGCACACAATATACTGGGAGAGGAACAAATTCTAAATCCCTCAAAACCAGCTGTAGCCTTTGGGTCAAATCTCTTTAACTTATAAAAAAAACACCATGAACAGATATCAATCTTATGCTCAGATCACTATTTTATTATACTTCTACAATTTTAAAAATAAAATTAGCTGTTATTAGACAAACTCTTGTCTACACAAATAAGTTTTTAAATAAAATCGGGAGGGAAAAGAATTAAGTTCCCAGGTGCAGCTTTACATGTTGTTTGTAAAAGAAGGAAAAATTGGGTCTTTGAAAACATTTGTATAAAACTGGGAACATTTTAGCCCAATTGTAGTAATGTGTGAATTAAGGTATAGCAAAGAAGCAGTTCTCACAAAATTGTAAACAAAGTTTAAGGCTGGAAGTAATAAGCTTTTTCTCATGATAATTTGCCATCATTTAATACATCATTCTGATTAACTTTTCTGAAAAGTTCACTAGGGCTGCTGATGTAAGGGACGGGGAGGAGTTTTCAAAGGAGAGTATACTGGAACTTGTGCAATGAGAAAGTGCAATGCGTATTTCCCTGTTGGTATACTGTTCCGCAGCAGCAAGGGCTAAACATCCCATCTTGTGTTTCTTCTTCTTAAAAATGTAATTGTCTTTGTTCCTTCAACTGGTATGGCTGGATTCATCAAATTAAGCATATTTGGACATAACAGTTTCCATTTGGCTGGATTGCAGAAGTCCTGGCACAGTTATCATTCCTTAATCTAAAATAGAACACAAAATATTATTTGAAACAACACTGCATACACAGTTTTTATTTATTCAAATATCCAATGGTACAAAGTCTTAAGACAAAGAAGAAGAATCAAGGGAGCCTTCACTCACATATGTCTTCCCACAAAATGCTTTATAGAGCACAGAAGTGTCAACTTGAAGTACCCTAATAGCTTATTCTCTCTTTTCTCTCCAAAACAAAGCTGGCATTTCCCTTCCCAAGTCTAGGATCCCACTGTCAGGCTTCATTGGAGATAGGCTTCAAAGCCACTCTGGATATGAAAGGAGGGGTGGTCACTGCAGCCACCCAAACTATGCAATACAAAACCTTTTAAACTGTGTTTTAAAATAGCAAGGCCGGTGTCAGCAGCAGAAACAAAAACTACCCATATTTCATTGCATAATAGTTGCACCTCCATTTTTGTGGTTCCAAAATGGTTTTTTTTTCTTTCCTCGCATAATTGTCACAGTGATATAAAACTGAGAAACTTCCCTCCCAAAGACATTCTCAATATGGAAGTCTCTCTTGCTCCTCTTTATCTTGCAGGTGAGAATCCAGGAAACAGAAGGCACTAACTTCTTCACCGCATAATAGTCACACCCCCTTTTCCCAACAAAAAAGGAGATTAAAAGTGTGACTAATTATGTGATGAAATATGGTATACTATTAAGTCCTCTTCTCCCAATATAAGTGAATAATGAACCAGGGAGTGCTGTTGAACATTTGCGGAAGTCTCAATCCTTTCTCACCTATCTCTTCTCTAAATTGGCTGCACACAAGACAAGACAACTCTCTTTCTAGACTGATCAAGAGGAATTAAAGCCCACATCCTTTCACCAATGTAATGATAAAACCACATTATGTATTTTGTATCTCTAAAGTTATCCAACACAAATGTTTAAGCAGTATGTTGGAACAGTATTTTATACAGCAATTCCTTTGGAAGTACAAATATCATCACTTTAGCCCTCTCCACACTGAAGTCTAAGAGGTTTAAAGAGGCTTGTATTGTAGATGCAGGCACACTCCATGCAGGTGGCTTGCTGTGGAAACAGGGCAATTGCTTCTTGTAATCTTCTAGACAGACAATTGTGTGGGGAAATTATGCTAAATGATTTGAGGATTACAGTGATCGAATTGCTTCTACAAATTCAAGCCCCAATCAAAGCAGAAGTTTTGCTGGACAAACACCAGTTTTCACAAGAAAAGGTAGAAACCAGAAACCAAATAAAGAACACAATATTGGGGGTGACTTGTGTGAAGGAAATTGCAATGAGTTTTTTTTAGCTTAAGTAATATTTAAAAGTGTTCATATTACATTTCCAGTTTAATACACCATTATTGGAAAATGGAAACCAATCATTCATAAGCCTGGTTAAATAAATAGGTTGTGATAGTCCATACTATGTGCTTTTAAAAAAAAAAACACCGAATGTTGGAACACGAACACAACATTTAGTATTTATAAAGCTATTGTGGTAACCTCCCACACATACCTCAGCAACAACCCCTGCTGCTATAGTTGATCCACCGTAGCGCAACATAAACCTTCCAAGTTCTTTAAAGTCTTTATAAAGTTCCAGAGCAATAGGCCTTTGTGTTTGCAGTTCTATTAAAGCATTCTGTCCTTTAGTCAGACACCTACAAGGGAAGAAAACAAAGAATACACTCAGAGTTGTATCACTGTGAAAAAAGTAGCTATGGCAATGTAGGTGTGTGTTAGTAGGGAGAGATGGAGAGACAGAAATCTAAAGCCAAACATTTAGCATATGCCTCCAGGACATCTACAAATATTATTGCTTTCATTTCTTAAAAAGTGTGACACTGAGAAATATGTTCACATCAGTTTTACAAGAATTCAATTAATTTTTTGTGCTTCTTTATATTCTTCATTTTTCAAGATGCCAACAGAATTGGGATGTAAATGTTCATTTCATTCCAACCCTGAAGAATTAGCAATTTCAGTACTTTCCACTACATGGGAATGCTATGTTTTCTGCACAGTATCTGAGTACTATTCATACTAATAGATTTTGATGGAGAATATAAATATATGCAAAAAATAGTGTGGCTTCATGCATAGAGGTGCAAAATGTGTATATTGTGCGTAATATACTGATCCCCATATAACATTTCCTGGTTTTTTATACAAAATATATGTATTTAGCCTACATGTGGAGTCTATTTTACAGCAGTCTCTGCGTTTATACAAACTGTATATTTTTCAAACTTTTTGAAATTTGCATAAATGCGCGCACACACACGAATAAATGTGTCAGAAATATAATGTCAAGAACAGATTAAAATACACCAAATTGGAGACATAACACCAGCTAAAAACATGCAACAGTTCAAATATGGCCAGGACCTCTGCAATGTGCCCAGACTAGTTTACAATTACTCTGACACCTAAAAATGAAAAACAAGTCTTTTCAAGGCATTATCAATATTATCTTCTTCTATTTCTACTGTGTTTCATGTAATACAAATTACAGTAGAACCGCTTCATTTTTTCTAAAGTATTAGAACAAAAACAAACAAATTATTTAATGGATACTTACTTAGGTTTCTTTTTTGTGACTTCCCCTGTACTCTTGTGTAGAACACTCAATAACTTCCGGATAGTAGCAGGCTCACTTACAGTTTGAAAATGAAGAAGCACCTGAAAAATAATAGTTTTACATTGACCCCCTTGTAACTACTATCAGCAGGTGAGAAAACATCAGAGGAATTCCTGGAAAATCCTGGTATTTATCCATTTCATAGTAACAAGTTGCATAAAACCACATAATGTTATATCATTTAACTGCAGAATTGATTAATGCGATATAGTTTATCTGTTTTCCTGCCTTTAGGTAATGCTTTTGTCAACTACCTTAATACGTTAAACCAAACCTCTCAAGGATCACTGTAACGAGTACAGCCATCTTGTCAACGAATGTTAATCAAGACAAAACTCCTACTTCAGGACATATTTAAAACAGTAAAAAACAACTGTACATACCTGACTGATAGAAGTATGATTATAAAGCCCCCAAAATGAAAAAAGTGAAATTAAGGCCTTTCCAAAATAAAGACAGAGCTACACTCACAGGGAATCCTTTGGTAATAGGGACTTCAATATTAAAGATGAGGACTCGAGCTCTGAATCGCGTGCAAGCTTTGATGGGTTCCTTGGGACAACAAAATATATAGCCAACACTGCAAAAGTAAAAGTCAGGTCATGAATAAATAGTAGCTTTATACAGACTTTTTTGTGTAATAAACCCAAAACTCAGATTTATATAGCACACTAAAAAGGGGATATATGTAAGTGCTGACTTAGGAAGTTCCACTGGTTCACTGACTCTACTCTAGTTAGACCTGACAACTGGATTTAGATTATTGTGTTTATTTGAAAAATAAGAGGCTGGTATTCACCGTGAATGGCTATTCTTGGATGATTGCACAATTTATGCTTAATCCTATACTAAACCTCAAGTATGCATAAATGTGTGGTAATTTAGATTTAAATGGTTCCTTCTTTGGATTAATGAGTATTTTAATTTAATTTTAATCTAGTAATTAATTAAACTGCATCACCCTTTCATAAATCTAATTCACACTTAGAGGGTTACATACTATGGTCATAAGAGAAATTGGGCTTGCACTGATACAAATATAGTTTTAAAGTTATTGTTAATACCTGGAAAATAAATGCAGAGTAATCTAGCAGATCAGAAGGGATATAAATACACAAGGCTGGATTGTAATTTACATACTACTCTGCCAGAGCTTTGAGGAATAAACCGCAAAAGTGAGAGTAGAGTCTTGGGTGGGGACGGGTTCTTTAAATGCAAGTGCCGGTTGTGGCTTCTGTGTAACAATTCCGCACATGTACAGAAACAGAGAAATGAACTAACTTTTTCTGGGTTATCACAGCCTCACATGTTCTACATTTTCTGTTAACCCTCCCTTTTGGACTTCTTCATTCAGATCCACAGTGAGTCAACCTTTTGGCCAGCCCATGTCAGCTACATATTCTTGTAGGATGATGCAGTGTTCCCGACATTATTATTTAAAAAAGTAGTACAATGGCTACAAAGAACAACACCAGTCATGTATACTGTTTGTACGTGCAGTTGAGTCAGATTAAACAAGAAGTTGTCTGATTAGGATCAAATATGCTGCCTTTTTGCATCATCTTTTGAATTCAAGCTAGGTGATCTGCAACTTTATGGCTTTCAAGGCCCAGGTAGTCAAAACCTTACACCCTTCTTTCTTCAACCGATAAACCACTGATTATCAACACAACGGTTAAAATACTTGGTTAAAGAGAAACGGTTGCTCAGACAAACTTCTCCGCACTCACTTGATCTTGATTATATCCATGCCAGTCAAAGTGAGACTAACGTGATCTCCTGCTGCAGCCCAATCCACCGGTTCATCATGTAAAGCAATTCCTGGAAATGAGTAAAAACAGAACGAAACAGTGAACTCTCTTGGTTTAACAGTTACAAACAGCTCTGCCTTTTCCAATTTTGCTGCATCAACCACGACTCATCAGTTTTCAGTATGAATGAGGTGAGAGTAAAAGCTGTTGACTAAAACCTCAGAAAAACATTTTCTGTTTGGGAACCACCATTATCTAAAGTAATGTTTGCTTATTCAGAGAGTTTTCTGCCGAGTCACAGCGTCTGGGTAGATGCCTGCCAAATCTGTGCAGATTTCACCATTTTTGAAAGTATTTGACAAGGCTCCTTTTACTTACTGTTTCCAGCCATTTATATGTTTTAGTGGTACCAGCTTTCATTTTCCAACAAACATTTTATGCTCACTTTCAGTATAATCATGAAAGAAGTATGTGGGTACTACATGGCATTAACTCTATCAGAAAACAGCAGAAAGTATCTTTGCAATTATCAGTAAAGAATTATATATATACCATAGTACATGGAAGATTATACATGTGTATTGAATAACTGAAAAAGAGTGAAGTGTTCTCCAAATACATTTACACTAGCAATACATTAGCAATTATGCTTGCAAAAAAAATCAACACTGGCAATTAACATATTTGGTTTGCCAAAATGTCTCCCTTGTTTGAATAACTTAATTTTTTTAATCTATGTATATCAGTGATAACAAAGCCATGCCTAAGAAAAGAATTAATAGTTTAGCAGCAGGAATCACAGAAATCCAGTTGACATTTTGACATTTGATACTTTTCATTAACAAGTTCTATACGTGTTTACAATATAAACTCAACGTCAGAAGACACATCAGTTTTCATTTTGTACCTTTCACGGTGCAAGTTTCATTAGGAGGCATTGCCAGAAGTCGATCTCCAACCTGGACGTAGCCGGCATCAATTTTGCCAGTCACACAAAATCCTGACCCTTGATCTAGAACGAACGTATTTGTTTTAAAAATTAAACACAGGGAAAGTAAAACACAACTTTTTTGAAGTCACACTATCCAATGTATGTATCTTCAATTAAAAAATCTATACAATAATGGTGTCTTTTGTCATAATAAAAATTTGTCACTTACAATTAGCCTACTATCATAATGAAAACCTGCCACTTATTCTATAAGTCTGCTCTATAACCTTAGCTATGGAATCATGAGATATGTAGTTTGGTGAGGCACCAGCACTCTCTGGAAGTGAAGGCAAAAGACTTTGTAAGACTACAACTACACAGAGTTCACAGCACTGACCCACGGCAGTTATACTGGTGTCAAATTGCATTAAATCTACAGTGCAGACGCACCATCGGTCTTGTCCTTCCCACTTGTCTCTCCTTCTCCCTGATCCTACTATAATCGCCACACTGGACATGTTAAACTAGAGTAACCATGCACAACTATGTAGTTACCAATCCAGCACCAGCATCCTTACATGATGTACTTTTCTCTAAGCAAAACGTTCTACACTTCATACATGAAAGTCAGCTTCAACAATGACCAATTCTACCTGCACAGATGTTGCATTTTGGTATTCTTTTACCATTTGTTATGGACAGTGAAACTATTTAAAATGTCTCCGTAGATACAAAAAGATAACTTCAGATCAATGTGCTCTTTCAATTTCAAAGAGACAATTTTAAAAAATTCTAGGTGCAAACTCACATGACCCCATTCTAAGAACTGCAATGTCTGTGAGCAGGGAAGTTATAATGGTGTGCACTGAATGCTATTCCATTGTTACACTATCATACTGGTAATTGCCCTGGCAGCTAGTGCTAAGTATCAGGATATCTGTTGACTGAAATAGTTCACAGAAGATTTTAATAAGTTTACATTGTTTATGAAATGATGTACAAAGCTGATTTCTTTTTAAAATACAGTCATTTATTACTAACCTTTAAAAACATCCGATACACATAATCTGAATGGTTTATCCACTGATCTTTGAGGCGACTTGAAAGAATCTGTAAAAACATCAATATAAATTTACCATTTCCTTATTTAAAGCAGGGCATATTTACTGCATTTTCCTCAGCTGTGTTTTGAATGATATACCTACCAATCTGTTCTAGCAAGCATTTCCCTTCGTACCATTTGGTCAGCTCACTGGATTGACTCCTTGTGACAAGATTTTCTCCACCAAGGCCACTTGTAGGGATATAGGCTACATCTGATTCCTGGTTGAGAGAAGAATTTAGTTTGCAAGGGCAGAAGCAACTCCTTAGCTCCTTTCTTTTTCTGAAACTCAAGCTAAGATTCACTGTTTTCTTTAGGGAAGATTTGTTAAGAAAACTAAAATCTGATTAAGTAGTTACTAAATACCTATTACCGGTATTTTGTACTTATTATTACCACTGTTCTATCAAAAATCCTGTTTGAATGTAATTGTCTCTCACTTCAATTTTGTTTTCTACCTTTCAAATGCTTGAGAATGAGTACTTAGTAGCACAGAATATTCTTGTGTAAAGTAGGGAACTATTTTCACAACTGCTAAGAGCCAATAACAAAGAAATTAAGTTTCAATCGGACCATTAACTGGAATTCATTAGATTCCTATTTTGGCAGATGACCAGATAAAACAGTAAACACTGCCATGAATTTAAAATGATTTCACCATATATTTAAGAATGGGTCATATATGAAATCTGCTAGATAGGAACATTTATTGATATTTCTGTACAATGGAAGTGGTGCAGATGGTCTTTTATCTGTGAAGTCAACAATGTGAATAGTCTATTGGTTTCTTTACCTTAAAGCCAGCTTGCTTAAGGAACTGTCCAAGTTTATTGACAATTTCCTGAAATCTTTCCTGTTGCCAATTTACCTATAATAAGAACATAAGGATATGACTTGTAAAGCAAGAAGACAACATGAGAGCTCTCTCTCACAAAGCAAGTACTGATATCAAAATGAAGACCCTTCTATGCAAAAATAATTATGGCAATCCTATCAAAAGTGCAATAAGTCACTATTCAGATGGGTCTGCTCAACCAAAAAAAAAAAACCCAAAGCAAAACACTTTGCTACATGTATCAAATATTTATTTTTCAAAGAATGTAATCAACTGTCAAAATAAATAATGTGGGAAAAGGCTGTATCTCCACCTGTGTTACTCAGAAACAATGCAAGAGAAGTTCAATTCTAAGAATAAAATATTTCTGTTTAGAAATGCAAAGATCATTCTGTACAATGAGCAAAACAAACACGTATTCTGTAGCAAAGTGAGGGAATCATACAACCCTCTATGTGTTGTTGAAATGAAATTCTCAGCAACATAGATGTTCACAGATATATTCCAGCAGACGACCAAATTGAACAGAAATGCAGGCTGAAATTAGAAGCATTTACATATTCACTAGGATAGAAGGCAATATTACTTGAGCTCCAGCAAGCCATAGATAGATGTTGTGCACCTAAGAATTTGTTGGCAATAATACTAGCTTGGTTAATAAGAATTTATGTCAGAAGATGAGGGCTCAATTTCTGGAAGAAACGGACTTTCTCCAGATTTAAAGTATCTTTCAGAACTAGTTGTTAGACCAGGAATTCTCAATTTCAGTTTGCAGCACCTTAAACGGTAAATTCTCTCACCTCATCCTCCACCATTCCTCTCAATCTCTTTCACTCTGTGCATGTGCAAATGTTCCCTTCATGTGTGCTTTTAAGACAACTACATTTAAACAATATCAAAGGAAATACCTGGTCCATTTTATTCACTGCAACTGCCAATTGTGTTACTCCAAGAGATCGCACCAATAGGCCATGTTCCCGTGTCTGTCCACCTGTCTCAAATCCAGCTTCAAACTCCCCTCTACTGGCATCTACCACTAATATTGCTACATCAGCCTAAGAAATAAGAACAGTTGTTAAATGTATTCACTAGCATTGTAAAACCACAAAAAATCAGGCATGTCTGCAACTTAGCCCCAAATTCACCCTCCCTTGCCATATAATGTATGCAAAATATTTAAGTCACAGTTACAACTATCATGTTGAGAGAGTGAGAAGTTATGTATTATAGGTTCATTATGCCTCACAAAACAACAGAGATGCCTGAAAAATACTCTTTTTCAATCAACACTCTAAAAAAATATATCCAAGTTGACAAAAATACAGGGGAAAATGAAAATTTTGACCAAACAAAATGACTACAAAATTCAGTTCAGTGCATTATCCGTTTCCATATGACTACTAAAAAAATCTTTACCTGTGCAGCTCCTGTGATCATATTTGGAATGAAATCTTTATGGCCAGGAGCATCCATCAATGTAATAACTTTTGTTTTTGTCTCAAATTTGGTCATACCTACATCCATTGTAACTCCCCTAAAAACAAAACAGAGGTGTACAACGCATAATTTACAAATATTCTCAAAGTTTACCACATATATTCACTGATGAACTGTACTCATTCATTCACACATTTTTTGACACTAACGGATTATATGCCTGATGTGACAGTACTCCCCTTTTACAATAAAGGAATTCTCACCATAATGTTCTTTACATCATGAATAAAGGACAAAATTATTATGGTTAGAGCAGTCAGTAACAGTGAGAAAAATCCAGAATGTACTGAGAAGCATACAATTTCTACAGAAAGCACTGGAACGGTAGAATGAACAAGAATGCACTGAACAATCATTGATGGATCAGATCACATCCAAAAGTTGTGACCACATCAAACAGGAGAACTATGTCATGGCTATCTCCATCCTTAAAAATAGTTATGCAATTTCATCCTAATTCTGTTACAAATACAGCAAGATAGACATAAAGTTACCTTCACAATATTTTTCCAATTACACTTATTCATACCTAATACTTGGTTCACTTACACTATAAACAAACAATACTGTAACTACTAATACAAATAAAGAAGGAAACACTTACCTCTCTCTCTCTTCCCCTGTTTCATCTAAAACCCATGCATAAGCAAAGGATGCTTTCCCGGCTTTTTTGGACTCCTGCTCATATTTGTGCATAGTTCGTTTGTTCACATTTCCCAGGAGATATAACAAATGACCCATTAGAGTACTTTTTCCAGCATCAACATGTCCTAAGAATATGAGATAAAATCACTGTTACAAGTCAGAAGTTATATTACACTGAGGGAAAAGGAACTATATGGATAGTCATTTGATTTTCTCTCCAAAAAGACAGTATTACCTATTACTACAAGGTTAAGCAAATGTTTTCCTCCTTGTCTCTTCTCCAACTCAGCTTTCACATCTATCTGCTGTTTTGCTTTTCCAGATCTTTTGACTGGAGTTGGTGCCATGGTGGGTTCTTCTAATGTCTGAACAGTCTGGGACGGAAGAACTGGTTTAGGTAGAATCTCAGCTGCTCCCACATTGACGTTGGCATCTCCTGATGAGAGTCCTTTTTGGGGTGGAAAAGCATTATGACCATTTTCTTCAACAGTCATGCTAGAGAAAGCAGAGATTGGATTTAAGCGAACAAAAATCCCAAATATAATTGGCCAAATGAAATGCAACCTTCTATAATGCTTAAACCATCAAATAAAAGATAATAAAAAATAAAAGAAATGATAAGCTGCTTCAGTGGTTTTCAACCTGGGGTCTCCAGATGTTTTGGGCCTACAATTCCCAGAAATCCCAGCCAGTTTACCAGCCGTTAGGATTTCTGGGAGTTGTAGGCCAAAAACCTCTGGGGATCCCAGGTTGAGAGCCACTGTGCTAGATGGTCACAGACTGTTGCTTATTACAATTTAGTAACTGGTCATCTGCACAATCATGCCAAATAAAGGGATCATAGTATTTACCTGCTTCCCTAAATTACAGGATACAAAGTGGCTTACAAAAATGTGGCTTCCAACTGGCTATCTTCACACGGTCCTATGTTATCACTTGACAAATGGCCAGGAAACACACCCACTGAATAGTTTGTCTGAGTTATTGATAATATTAATAATAATAATAATAATAATACTTTATTTATATACTGCCATCATCTCCCCGAAGGGACTCAGGGCAGCTTACAAAGCACTCCAGGGTGCACATATAACATACAACCAGTAAAAATGGTACAAAAGTATAAAACAAGTCACATAAAATTATAACAACAACCCCGTCAACACATGTTAGTATAAAAACTAAAACAATACAATTTTAAAACAACAGTAGATAAAATTAACTGCCGGCAATTCACAGGTGCCAAGTGTCAGCTTCATATGAACTCATTCAGTCTACTCAAGATCAAAGGCCTGTCTGAACATCCATGTTTTCTGGTTGGAACGGAAGGACTGAAGGGTGGGGGCTAATCTAATCTCTTTTGGGGGGGGGGGGAGACCACAGAGAATTGTTTTATTGTAAAAGATAAACGGCACTCTGTATAAGCAATATTACTATGACAAAAATCATGTCACACAGAGAGCTGTTTCTGTGAGGACAGGTTTTAGTTGGGTGCTACACAGTTGCTTATCCTTTCAGCCTGTACATCTAAAGCTAATCAACAGATATTCCTTGCTATAATGGTAGCATTTTCTTTAAAAAAAAAAAAGATTACTGGAGGACAACCTAAAAACATTGAGGTAGAATGAAATGATGGCCCATGAGGTCTCTTCCAACATTATGATTCTAGGTATATAATCCACCATTGGTAGTACACAGGAATACTGGTAACTGGAGTCAAATAATGACACCACCACCCAATATAAATATCTGTTTTGGCAGGAGAGGACTTCAGTCTTTCATCGTCTACTATTGTTAATTCCTCACAATTCCTCACAATTTTTATTAGAGACCTTGTGGTCTATGTTTTAGATTGAAGAAGCACAAGTGCATATCCAAGATTTCTAAACACAGATTGATTGTACCAAAACTGTATTTTTGATTCTAGCTATGTACTATTATATATACAAAGAAACTTTGTATAGCAAGATCCAAATTACTGACATATTACAATTATAAGATGTAATGGCTAGAAAAACTGAAACACTCTTGATTAACTTCTGTATGCTCCAATTTCTGATACACTGACTATCCATATCCAAAATACTTGGGACCAGAAGTGTTTTGAATCTCAGATTTTTTGCAAGATTTTGGCATATCTATATTTGCATATACAGTATGTGCATGAGTTATATTAGAGAAGAGATCAAAGTCTTAAAACGAAATACATTTATGTTTCAGATAACGTACATTGTTTACACATAACCTGATTTTGAAGTATTTTGATTTTTTTTTTAAAAGTTAAGAAACACACCCATTATCTTCTGGAAATGTATTACGCAGTTGTTAATGCAGCTTATCTGCAGGCCTTAATATATTTTTTTTTCCAGAAAGGGAAACTGTGACTCTATGATGGAAAAAAGACTACTTTCCCACAAAATGTACTTGAAACTATGACATTCACCAACTACTTTTTAAAAATGCCTTAATGGAAAAAAAGTTATATACATACAACTCTGATGAGCTCAGACTATTTTTCCTTCAGCAGATCAAAGCTCAGTTGCTCAGGTTAGTCTGTTTTTTTAAAAAAATTGTTTACCCTTAACTAGTCTTTAGTCTATAGACATACTGGTAATTTGAAATAAACTGACTTTAAATCTTGCATTTTTCACAATTCTGTCTGCCAAGTTTGACATAGAAAGATAATATATGCAATAATATAAGTGAATTAACTGGTTTCAGAATTTTAATATATTTTGCATACTCCCTATGAGGAAGTATGTCAGTAGTAAAACATTACTGAACACTGACAATATTTTCTCTCTCCACCCACTCTCTGTATGCCACGAGGTTATCTATATAAATGTTCCACATTTAAAACAAAAGCACTTGTTTCAAAATACTGTAAAAAGGGGACGCAATCATATTAAATTATGTACCGGAATGAGATATCCCCCCCCCCCCCCAGAATCATGATTTTTGGAATGAGATATCCCCCCAAATTATGAATTTTTAAAAAAAGAACTGAATCAAAATCACATAAATAAATAACCAAAACTCTGCTGTCTTGCTTTGTATCCCCCCCTCCAAAAAAACCCCCAGAATAACAGTAAATAACTAGGCCAAAACAAACAAAAGTTTCAACCAACCTATTGATTTTTGTTACTGTACTTTTTTTTCTCCCAACCAACATAAAACAACTGAACCAAAAATGTCCTATGCTTTTGTTTGGCAAATCATGATACAGCAGGGCAACTATGAAGACCTCATATTGTTTGTATGTTGGTCTCATTCAGGGAGATCTGAAATGACTTTCATTGGGAAGACTCTGGAATTCTAATTATGGCTCGGAAGTACAAGAGTTATATATTTTGACTAAACCCCAACTCTAACTTTACCATGTTGGAATTATTATTGTGGATGGAAAGTGTCACACCTCAGACAAATACAAGATTTTTAGAATATATATCAGACAAGATTATTTTTCAATGTCTTTTTAACACTTGTATTACAATGGCTCTCTCCAAATTTGACATTCTGTTACATGCCTTTCACTGTTTCCTTATTATGGGATTGAATAACTGGTGACCTCTTGATAAATGTGAGTCACCAAAGTTCATCAGAAGTCAACCAACCCCGTAGCTCTTCAATTTCAAAAGAGCTTCCTCTCTTTCCTTGCTTTTTCCTTTTCTAAAACTGCTATTTCTACAAAGGTGTTAAGATAGGATTAGTAAATGAGAAGGCATAGGATTTTTCACTTCCTGTTCAAATTCACTATGTAACAAAATTTGGAAAAAAAATCTGTTTCTGGTTTGAACGTGTTATTTCCTGTTTAACTGTGAGGTACTTACTTTGAAAGTAGTTGTTATACTCCAGAAACTTTGTTTTTGTGGCTGCCACAAACTATGTTGACTTGGTTGAGATATTCATTGAAAAACTATAGCAAAATGTACTGCAGGATGTCCTGCAAAAACAACGTTTTTGCAGTTTAATAAAACTTTTCCATGTTTTTATGATAGCACCAATTAGGAAATGTAACAAAAATGGTGTTATATAGTATTATTCCTCTTCTTAATATTCTAAATATTTCCAAATCATCTTATGTGGGGGAAATTGCACCAGCTAAAACAGCACAGCCCATATTCATCTGTGGCCGTCAATAATGTCTTGCTTCCAGTAATACAGGTGAGTCCCAATTCGACTGTCTAATTTCACAATGTTTTAATTTACAATATTTCTCCAGAAATCTATCAATCAAAGAGTCATCCACAATAAAGAGCTCTCCTAGCATATATGGGCAGCTGAGTGAAGAAGAAAAGCAAGGCGGAAAGGGTGTGAGGATGAGGACAGCAAGGTGTGAGGGAGAGGCCATTTGGAATCTTGGCAGAAGTTTAAATAACAACCGTTTCAGCACGACTGTAAAAAAGAGATTTTCTTTGCATGCCTGTAAGTGGATTGTGGCGAGGGACACACAAATGTTGCTACTGTATGGAGAAAAAGGTTTCCTTCCCCTGCTTGTAGGGAGCATGAGGAGGGAGAAGGAAACTTGAATCTTGGGGTTTCAGCGTGGCTTCAAGAGATTTCATCTGTTTCCTTATATGAGGGGTGACTAATCAGTTTGCTTTCTTCACTTAACAAACCCATTTGGGGGCCCAACATGTACTACCTCTTCTCCTGTTGTGCCCTGTGAACTGGCTGCAGAAAACACAGCAGGACATGTGCTGCCTCTCTATCTTATGTGCTTTCTCAATCTGGGAAGCCTGCTGGAGAAGGCACTGAAGAACAATACAGTTTTTACCAGCTGATCTTTGACTGTGTCATTCTCTGAAAGGAAAAGTCTTCTAATGGCAAGCACCCTTGGGAACAGCAGTTGCCTTCTCTTCTGGTTCTTCTGTGGAACATATGCACATTTCCCTAGTCTGGAAAAGCTGAGCCGAGCTTTGAAGTTTTAGGGTTTAAACTTCTTTAAGGTGTGGTTTGAGCAAAATTACTAAGTAGTTATTTCAGCTATTTCCCTCCAATGATTCCATATGGAACTGGCTCTCCCCGTTTATGTCAGTCTCAATGTAAAGCAAAACCTGTCCGTATGAGAGTAAAGTTTTTCTGTGTTCCATTTCTAGGTTCTTCAAGATGCCACTCTGATTTTGTTGCAATGTAGAAAAGGGACAAAAAATCTTCATCCAGAACATACATAAGAGTGACAGTGCTGAGTTGAAAGCCAAAAATTCAGCCCTGGGTTGGAAGTCAAAAAGTCTCTCTCTCCTTCTCCATGCCCTGCTGTTCTCCTCTGAATGATTAAATTTCTCTAACAGCATATGTTGACAGAATTTAGTCTGTATAAGGTATTTTTAAAATAAACCTCCAGAAACTATAGCAAAGATAAACAAGTGTTTTAAAGTGAAGTAGCTAACTATTCTGCATATGCTACTCAAAGTGAAAGGATTTCTTAAAATTCACAAATACAAGATACCTTCTTCTGAAAGTAAATATGAGTCAATCAAAAAGCCTTGCTGCATAGTTCTGTGGTATATTTAAAACAAAATCGCTTTTAAAAAGACTGAAAGAAAAATTCTTGCTATAGGTGCACCATTTTGCAGGAGGAGGAACACAAATATACTTTAGGAAGGATGAAGGCTTACCCTGGAATTTCAAAGCCAGTAGTTTGTTTCTTTCCTGATACAGTCATTTTGGTTACTTTTGGCACAATGTCTGGTTCAACTCTTCCTGTGTGAGAATCTCGGTCTTTTCCTGACAAGAAGAAAAAGATCATTTGTAGCATGGGGGGGGGGGGGGGGGGGAAGGTAACAGCTTGGATTCCCAATGTAGTTAACAATATTTATGAACAGTCTTGACAATACTTGAATTCGTACATTTCTGCAGCAATATCAAATCTACCAATGAAAATTGTGAGCTGCTGCTGTAAAATCTTAAACTTCTTTAAGGTGTGGTTTGAGCAAAATTACTAAGTAATTATTTCAGCTATTTCCCTCCAATGATTCCATATGGAACTGGCTCTCCCCGTTTATGTCAGTCTCAATGTAAAGCAAAACCTGTCCGTATGAGAGTAAAGTTTTTCTGTGTTCCATTTCTAGGTTCTTCAAGATGCCACTCTGATTTTGTTGCAATGTAGAAAAGGGACAAAAAATCTTCATCCAGAACATCCTGAATATTTAGAACATTTTGTCATTTAAAGTACAAAAATAATTTTGTGTCCACATTGTGTTGTAGGATATAACAAAAGCCTGCAGCATTTCAGGCTGACCATGAAATATGACATCCCAATAATGAATGTAATCCACCTTTCCACAAACAGATTTCAACTTTCCCAACAGGACTATCCCCTTTGTCTTCTCTGCATCCCTCCCTACCTGCTCTGGAAGATGCCCAAGTGGTGAAGGGAATGGCAAAAGTCAGCCTTTCAGTATAAAAGGATTAGTTTAATACAACCTTTTTATTTTTAATTATGAAATTGTTTTGAAGTGCTTCAAACTTTAAAATGACATTTTATGCTAACATATCTTTACTGAGTCATCCAAGGCCTTTAAGAATCTTCTACCTTCTCTCACCACCCTGTGATCTCTCAAGTAACTGCACTGTCTTTGCTACATGTACATTATTCAGAAGTAGGGTGCAGTATTTAAATAATACCTCAGTTTTCCAATTGTTTCTTTTTATATGTATGTCAAGAAATAAGGGCCACCTTCCCACATACTTGTCTCCTTTTTCAAACTTCTGGATCTACAAATTTTGGCAATGTAATCCCAAGTGTTTTCTTGTTAACTATGATAACATCAAGACATGTGGATTTCCTAATAACTGCTGTCAATAAAAGGGCTTGATATCCTTCAGTGATCCAGAAATCAGACGGATGACAGCCAGGACATTTTCCCTATCAAAGGTAGCAATGCCTTTCGACAGAAAAGGAATATATTTTCGTTCCCAGCATAGCTCATGACAATATTTCTTGAATTACCACTCTTACTGGTAAGTTCTCTTCATCTTTCATACTGTTTTAATCTTAAGAATTTTTCATTTGTTAAAAAAATTCTGGAAACAATATTAATGAGGGTATATTTAATCAATTAAAACAGTTTATTCAAAGTAGATCAAACGCTGGTTCAAATTGTATTCAAGGACAGAATAGTCTTGATATTATTTTACATTTCTCTTTCTTCCATCCACACATGACTTCTACAACTTAAGCCAAAATTGGAAACCATACCCGGGGTTGGCTCTGTCATTAAGCTTAGCCAGGAAAAATATGATCTATGCTGCTTGCCATTCATTCAGATAATTGCCATTGATATTATCCTCCCCACAGGAGGAGGGAAAGATGCAGTAACAGCATTTTTTTGGCCCCAGAGTCCAGAAGAGAGGGCAGACTCTCACACAGGCACCTGCCCCAAGAAGGATGCAACCACAATGCCATGCTGTTCTGCTGTGATAGAGGACACTCCACCCAGAACCAGGTATTCCCCAGCCTAACCACTCCAAAACACAGCCACCTTATGATACATAATGTCACAAACACACTCTTCTTTTAATGGAGGGGGCACGGTTGTTGCTCTCTTTCATGGGGGATAGTGCCAATACTAGATCTTCATTTCCCCCATGTAATGGGGAAGATCACACTCTTTCTTCCACTTGAGGGCCATGGCATCTATAGCAACAGTGCATTTCAAAAATACAAGAGATTAAACGATTTGGATTGAACACTGTCAGAAAGATGGCTCAGTCATGGAAAAACAGGATCAAGACATCAGTTGGATCATCATTCATATGTATGTCATTCGGCATACATATGAATGAAGTAATGTAGGGAAGTTCAGCTCCTTGCAAGCTGTTTTTCAACAAATCGCCAAGCAAGAACAATGACTGATTTAGAAAAAGGTTATTTCCTAAATAGAAGTTACAGAAGGGAATTTCCAAGTAAAAGCTCTGCTGCTTTCAGCTATTACCACTTATTTATAAAGCTTAAAAGACTGTTCTCATACAGTAGTTTCTTATCAAAATGAGCCATTCCGTGCCCCCAAACAGGTTCCCCACATATACAAATATATTATAAAGTAGAAGGCCATTACAGTTTCAGGTTGGTAGCAATTTTCATTACTGCAATAACCACAACAACCAAGAAACATCTGGGTCACACAATATGATTATCATGCAAAGTGCTTAAGATATCTCATATGGGAAACAATATTTTATATGAAATTACAATATATTTTTAAAAAAATCTAAAACTGAATATAATACAGATAGTCGCACTATTAACAATTATCCCAAGAAAATCGTTCTAACATTTCCTAAGGTTATTTGAAGAGGAGAGGGCAGCTTAGGTCTGGTTCTGTGGAACATCCTCAGGTAAAGTGGAAAGTACAGTTGTCCCTCCACATTTGTGGGCTTTAGGGGCACAGGGTCCTTTTGACAGTGAGTAATCTGAAAATTTAAATCAAAAGCACAAGCACTACTTTTTTAATCTGAGAGAATACTTCTCCAGGCATCTATAGGTTCTTTTAGCATGATTCTATGGTCAACTTCTGAAAGAACATGACCACAGAATTTCACTGTATGGCTTACAAAGGCCTGCAGAAATGCCCTAAGACATTTGTAGGTCCTCCAGAGCAATTCTATAGTCTGGGTCATGGGATTTTATTTAGTTTGTTCATAAAACTCTGTGTGAAATGTGAAACACCAAAAATTCAAAACTCACTCCAAGGATTTGTGTTGTGATCCGTGTTGGGTCCCTATGGAGAAAGGTGGGAATTAAATAAATAAATAAGCCAAGTTTTCCCTTGCATAGCAAGGTCATTCAAAGAAAAGAAGGAATATAGTTAAACGAGCCCAGATGGTACAGATGATCTCAGGCAATACACCCAAAATAATGGGAACCAAAATACCATAAAATATGTCTGAAGAAATATGATGGGCCTACAAATTCCATAATCCTCAACCAGCATGGTCAATGGCTGACCACATTCCCATATGTCTTAACAAAACATAACTCGTTGGTTCAATTGTTACCATCAAACATTTTGAAAAACATCCTTTCCACAATGTATACTTTTATTCAGTATGCTTCCATAGAAAGTCTGTTCATTTGATTCTCACATTCTGCAATAACCACAACTGCGTCTGTGGTGTGTTCTTATTCAACGTATTTAACTAAATGACTCTGACATGTGTTTCACTAACAAGCAGGGAAAATGTTCTACAGAGACATGCAGGGCTTTCTGACCATAAATAGACATGTAAAAGCAACGTCAGCACTAAATACGGGGTACCCCAACATTTCTCCACCAACCAGTAATCTAAGATGAAAGTTTATGTAGTCCAAGGTAACGTTCAACACAATTAATAGAATTTCTGTTGGGCACTGGTTCATTATGAGTATGTAAAACTGAAAGTACAATATGTAACGAACAGGTACTTTTACTGCAACTTAGTCGAGTTTCCAGAAATGAAATAGTATCAGGCAGAAAAACTGGAGGTTTGCATAGCAGAGCATGCTTTTCTTAAGTGGTAAATTCTTACTGAACTAAATCCACAACTAAATAGTAACTTCTTGTAGCAATTGTGGACCTGCCACACTAAATTAAACACATAATATTGTGACCCTACATTTTTATCAGACTGAAACTTCCACCATGCCTAACCATTAGCTAGGATGATGGAAGTTACAGTCTAACAAGAAATATATGCCTGCCCTAAATCAACTATTGTACACCTCAGACATATACTTACAAAAAAGGAATTAACCATCTAAATAGCTGAAAACTTAGGTGTAGCCTTTTAAAAATTCTGGCAGAAAACCTTACATCATTCCTTAAAACAAAATATTTTTAACTGATAGGAATAGAAAATGTCTAAACTGTGAGTACAATGCAGGTATCTGTATAACACTGGCCAACATATTTGGGTGACTCAAATGTTAGTCCTGTTTCTGGGTATATCTGACCTGCTGATTGCAAAAATGGTACCGGTTTTCCTTTATCAACTCTAATTTTTGAGATACAGAACATATGCCATATACCTCTTCATCTGCTCGCCCATAGAAGATCATGAAAACCATATCTAAGAAACTAGAACTGACGTGGTCTATCCAATGCACTTTTCTGAATCAGCACCCCAAATAACCCCAGGAACAGGTTTAAAAACCAAAATACCGAGATTTTTTTTGGTTGGGCTGTGTAATCAATCTACATTTTAGATTTATCCATCTTCAAGGATGCACTGCTCCTTACAGCCATTTATGTGGAGAAATAATTGCTGTGATATCAGCCATTCACTATTCAGTCAGACATGACTCAGAACTCTGAGTTTATTTCATTCATCAACTGATCTAGAACAAAAGCTCTTGGAACAAAATATGTAACAAAACCCAACTTTTTATTTGCCACAATGCAACCAGACTTACCTAGCATCCAGTTTACTATGCTAAAAGTTGGGTGTAAGAGTTCACTCCCCCAAAAGCTGTTTCTTTGAAGTACCTGGAAAGTTCCAGCACTCTTTGCCTTTTCTGTTGGGAAATATGAGGAGCCCTTGAAACAGTGGTGTAGAAAGCAGCCAGTGCAATATGCCCCTCACTGATTTTTTTTTATTATTTTTTTTTGGTGCATGTGTCAAGACTGACTTGAGAAATTGCAAGTCGCTTCTGGTGTGAGAGAATTGGGAGTCTGTAAGGACACTGCCAGGGGACTCCTGGATGTTTTGATGTTTTACCATCCTTGTGGGAGGCTTCTCTCATGTCC